TTATTCAACCTGTATGCTGAGCAAATAATACGAGAAGCTGGGATCTATGAAGAAAAATGTGGCGTCAGGTTTGGAGGAAGACCGTACTTAACAACAAACATTATGATGCCTGGAGTGCTGGTATGGAGCTGTGGGATAAATCTCTACCCTGCAAGTTTGTTTGACCCACAAGATTGGTGGTCTAAACTTACCAATCACTCCTTGGAAATCCTATACTTGGTCACTATGGGCAGCACTTAACAACAATATGAAGGTTGGAATTTTGGTTGTCTTGCAAGGACCAGACCAAATAATTTCTTGGACTTCACATGACCCATTGATCACATGTTTCCCACCCCTGCTTTAGAGGATAAGAAGCGGACTGCAAACCATAAGGCCATCATCCACTCTTTGGGACAAAGATGCTCCCACAGTGAGGTGTAGAACGTTGTCTTTGAAGACTGTGTTATGCCACTTGATTATGGTGTCCCCTGAGACTGTGGCCTGAGCCCCACAGCCCAGCAATTCAGACCCTTGGAGATGTTGGTTATGACTAGGGACTTGTTTTGTAACCTGATTGTTCCTCTACTTTCACAGATTTAGTGGAAGCAAAGACAATACAAGGAACTGCCATTCATACCTGTTTCATATGTTCTCTTGTCTTTGTTGTAGACTATCTATCTGTGTATCATGTCTGACTCGTCCACCATGTTGCTGGAAGTATTCCTTCTGATTTTTATTCTTTCCTTCTGCTTCCTCTGAATGTAATGAGCTCTTGTTTTTTGTTTTCTAAGATGGAGTCCTAGAGAATTGATATATTAACTTTACTAGGATTTTAGCTCTGTCTTCTTTCTTAGTATCAACCTTAAGTACTATAGATTTTCCTTTTAGCATCGCCTTATCTGAATCCAAGAAACTTTGTTGTGTTTTTATATTGTTGACTTATTTTTAAATAATTTGACATTGCTGTTATGATTTCTTTGTCCCAGGTGTTACTTAGAAGTGTGTTTATATGAGATTCACATCAGGGATGCAGTATGAATGTGCTTTATATCAGGGATGCAAGGCTGGTTCAACATTAGAGAAACTATGAAGGTAATTCACCATATAAATTCTTTTAAAAAAGGAAAAGAACAACCTGATCATACCCATTGATGCTGAAAAGGCATTTGACAAAGCCCAACATCCATCCCCTATAAAAACACTCAAGAGAGGAGGAATTGAAGGGGAATTCCTCAACATAGTTAAGAGCATATGTACAAAAGCAACAGCCAGTTGTCACTCTTAATGGAGAGAAACTGAAAGCCTTCCCTTTGTGAATAGGAAGCAGACAAGGATGCCATTTATTACCACTTCTATTCAGTATTGTGCTGGAAGTCTTAGCCAGAGCTGTAAAGCAAGACAGGGAAATTAAGGGTATCCACATCAACAAAGAGGAAGTAAAAGTCTGTCTATTTGCAGATCATATACTATACATAGAAAACCCCAAAACTCAGAAACTAAACAAAACAAACCAAAAAAACTCCTAGAACTCATTGAAAGATTCAGAAAAGTGGAACGGTACAAGATCAACATACAGAAGTCAGTTGGATTCTTCTATACTAATAACGATAGCACTGAAAAGCACATTAGGAAAGCAACGCCATTAACAGTAGTCAAAGGATGAAATATTTAGGATTAAATGTATCAGAGAAATATAAGACCTATTCAAAGAAAACTACAAAGCACTATTACAAGAAAACAAAATACACGTACAAAAATGCAAGCATATGTAATGCTCTTGGATAAGAAGACTTAACATTGTAAAAATGTCAGTACTACCCCAAGCAGTCTACACACATAATGCAATCCTAATCCCGATTCCAATGACAGTCTTAAAAAAAGACAGGAAAACAATTACAAACTTTATATGGAAAGGAAAGAGACTCGTATTAGAAGGAGAACAACGTGGGATGATGAATCTTCTTAAAGTTGCTCTGTTCTCACACCCAAAGCATAGCGTAGCAACCTTTTCTATCCTGGGGGTTTGAGGATGTCAGTGGATTGGTGTTCTTTCACAGAGATCACTATTACACCCCGGATTCCAATGCCCAGGATTCAGGTAGTTGTGGTTGTGTGACTTCTCCTGTGGCTGACATAGGTGGCTGAATCCTCTAAAAGAAATCTTTTATCTAGAAAATGGGCCTGTGACTTCCTGATGTCCTGGATTTGAAGAAGATATGACCACTCAGGGACTTGGGTCGCATTTTGTTTTTATCTGTGTGGGTCAAATGGAAACACTGCTGTTCTGCATTGTCACCAAGTAGTTAGTGCCTGGGGCTTCCTGTTTTGGCAGCGTCTGCTTGGTCTATAGTAGGAGATATAATGCTTGTTAACAAAGAGTAATGAGGGCATTTCTGTTCTTTCTTGTGTGCTTTCTAATTGTTCTAGACCATAAAGAGAGACGAATAGATTTCTGTTGGTTACAGTCAAACTGTTGTTAAGATTATTTCAGTGTGTTGGTATTTTCTGAGACAAGATGCTGTCAGTGAGGGAGGGAATGTAGTCATTGAGGAGATGAAGCTGATGGCAGTTCCCTAGAGCACACCGCGGGGGAGCACAGAACCTCGAGTTACACCCCTGTGACTTCTTAGTGTCCTGGGACTGTCAACCTCACCTTGTGTTCTTGCACCTGTTGGAATACACGCTCCCTTGTTGATCAGGAATGTGTGGGATGTTCTAGGAGTCTGTGGACATTGACGATGTCACAGTGGTCTTCACCCAACCAGAGTGGGATTTGCTGGATCCTGCCCAGAGGAAACTCTACAGAGACGTAATGATGGAAACTTTCAGAAACCTGGCTTCAGTAGGTATGAATGGCATCTGTTTCATTCCTTAAGTGCATGATAGTATTTTACTCATCCACGTTGCTGTATTATGTGGGATGAGCTATGGGGAGACATTGTTCCCTTAAAGAGGCAGTTTCCTCTCATAGGAAGTTCACGTGCAGTGGCTTCTCCATAAACATAAAGCTGCTTCATGTAATGGGGTTTCTTTTCTTTCGTGTAGAAAAGAGCTGGGGCTCTTTTTTGTTTTGTTTTGTAGTTTTCTTTGAATCGGTCTTTTGCTTCTCTGGTACATTTATTCCTAAATATAAGTAAAGTATAAGCACTGGCTTTAGGGGTCAGTGTCAGGCACTAAGCAATTTGTGGTGCCTTTCTGAGCATTTCATTGTGTTCATGTGTTTAGTTGAACATGATTATTTGGCTGCAAATCCTCTTACACTTGGTTCACCTTAAGAGACCCTGAAGATCCAAGAATTGCCTTGTTGTCATGGAAATGCTCATAGCATGTTACTGTCATCCCTCACCATGTCCGCTTCTCAGTGATTCCTGTCAGCTCTGCCCCTGTGGTTTCCACAGAAGCAAAGGAAAAATCCCAAAACAGTGGAAATAGTAGGACCCACTTAAAGGACACTGTGTGGAATTTTTTATTTAAAGGACCGTTTCTGAATGGAAGGATCTTAAAATGAGATTCGGTCACCTAGAAAGTTTCCTTTCGGCTGAACACACAATTTCACAGACACCTGAGTTTTCTTTTCTGGCATTAGCAGTCCACTCATACCTATGGTCTGGGAGACCCTTTTCTAATTTTCATGCCATGTATGTGTTGACTTTGATATCTTTCTATTTATATCATTATTCCATGTGTTACCATGACTCAATCCTCACAGAAACATTTGCTAGTAAACTCTTCTTTACCCATCGACAAAGCGCTGGAACAGGACATGTGACTGCACATCGGGAGCCCTTTCTCTGCTTATTGTTCATTTGTGTGTTTTTAACTAATCGTTCCTCTTTGTTACTTACTGTGAACCTCAACTGGAATTATTGGGTCAGTGTCTCAAAACCGTCAGGATGGAGAACAGTTACCCAGTGAACAAATAATAGTGCAATTCACAAAGAATCACACCTGGTCCTGTATGGTAAATGAATTCACAGCATCACCTGGCAGTAAAGGTCACCATGAAAATCAGAGCACACATTTGAGGTGAGTGTCATTCAAACAAGGAAACAGTCATAAGGTGTCATGACATTAAAATACAGTTAGATGGGCGATGTCAGAAAATGCATGGCAAGCTCCCGTTACCTTTCAATTCCAGTTTTCTACAAAGATTTGAAACCTTTTTTTTTTTTTTTCCGGTATTTATAGATCTGTACTGGGGCTTGAAATGGAATGTTTAGTAAATGCTGACCAGGCTAACCTGATAAGTACCTTTCGTAGTAGTGAAATTTCTCCTGTTGAGTTGGAAAGGTTGCGCAACATGTCATTCAAAGATGGTGGCCGATTCTTCAGACCTGACTGTCTGTTGCTCTCCACAGTCCTACCGATCTCCCACCGTGGGTGCTTCTGTTGTTGGCAAGATTGTGGAGAGCAACACACATTCAAATTGGTGTCGTTGATTGCTATCTGAACTGACAGCATGGAAAGTTGCTTAATCAGATCAAATGTCAGCAGAGAAAAGACTTGATTACTGTGCAGCATGGACACTGCTCTTGTTTGTGTCCCAAATTGCTGAACCATGGCAGAATGGTTTAAGCTCTTGATCATACCAAAAGTTTTGGGAAAACATAAACAGTAATTGTGTTTCTACTAAATGAAACATGAGACAAATGAGGGCAGAAACCCTGCATGCCACTGTGTGAGAGTTGTGAAATGGGAAGAAACTTTTAACTCCAATACCATATTGTTTTTTAGTTAACTTTCTATTGTGGATTAACTAAAGATTTATACTGTAGATCATCAGTTTGAACTTCACACTGCCTGTCATTCACAGGACTCACACAATAGACAACCTCCATGAAAGTTCTGAAGGCAGACAGTGTGGGGAAACCACCAGCCCGGTGCTGGTTCTGACTATGCTCCAAGGAAAACTCACCGATGTAAACCCTTTGAAATTCTGCAAGTCTGGAAAAGCCTTCCTGGATCACTCAACACATATGCATCATAGCAGCTCTCTTACCGGATGCAGTACCTATCCATGTAAAATGTGTGGGGACTCCTGCAGTTGTCTCTCTGATGTAATAGCTCCTATGACAATCCTTCAAGGACAAGAAAGCCATCAATGTAAGATCTGTGTGAAAGATTTAGTTTGTATCTCAACCATTAAGAATCCCCTCAGAAAAGTCCTTGGTGGAGAATGCTATGAATTTAACGAATGTGAAGAAATTTTCTCATTCACAAAAGATGGGAGAGGTCATAAATATAAATGTAAAGATGGTTGTAAAATCGATCCTTCTTCAAAAGAAAATTATCATCGGCCTTATACATGTACGAAGTGTGAGAAAGCTTTTACTGAGGCGTCCTTACTCATGCAGCATGTACAGATTCACAGAGGAGAGAAGGTTTATGAATGTAAAGAATGTGGAAAAGCCTTCAGAAGGCGCTCACACCTCACTTGTCATACAAGAATCCACAGTGGAGAGAGGCCCTATGAATGTAAGGTGTGTGGGAAAGCCTTTAGGGAGTCTTCACACCACAGTAGACATATGCGAACTCACAGTGCAGAGAAGCCCTATGAATGTAAGAACTGTGAGAAAGCCTTTAAAAGCATCTCAGACCTCACAAGACATAGAAGAGTCCACAGTTCAGAGAAGCCGTATGAATGTAAGGAATGTGGGAAAGCCTTTAAAATAAATTCAGCCCTCTCTGCACATAGAAGAATCCACAGTGGAGAAAGGCCCTATGAATGTAAGGAATGTGGGAAATCATTTAGAATAACTTCAAGTCTCATTGCACATAGAAGAATTCATACTGGTGAGAGGCCTTATAAATGTAAGGAGTGTGGGAAATCCTTTAGTCAATTCTCAAACCTCACAACACATAGAAGAATCCACAGTGGAGAGAGGCCCTATGAATGTAAAGTATGTGGGAAAGTCTTCAGTCAGTTCACAAGTGTCACTACACATACAAGAATCCACAGTGGAGAGAGGCCATGTAAGTGTAAAGTGTGTGGGAAAGCATTTGGTAGTTACTCATCCCTCCATAAACATAGGCAAACTCACAGTAGGGAGAGACCCCATGAATGTAAGGAATGTGGGAAAGCCTTTAAGGATTCCTCCCACCTCATTACACATATGCAAACTCACAGTAGAGATCAGCCTTATGAGTGTACACAGTGTGAGAAAGTCTTCAGGCAAGCCTCAAGCCTCATTAGACATAGAAGAATCCACAGTGAGGAGAGGCCATCTGAATGTCAAAGTCAAAAGCCTTTGTTGATGCCTCATCCCTCACTGTACATATGAGATCTCAAAATGGAGAAAGTCACTATGAGTGTAAGGAATATGGAGAACCCACTCCTAGTTGTCCATACCTCATTAAACAGGTGAACTCACACTTAGTTAGCAGAAACCTTATGAATGTAGCCAACTTGGGTAAGCCTATGTTTGTTACTCAAACCTCACTTCTTATTTAAGGATGCACAGTGGAGAGAAATGTACAAATTAGTGTAATGAATGTGGGAACCTCTCATGATTCTACAAAACTTCCCATGATTCCAAAAAGGAAAGAACCCTATCAGTGTAAGGAATGCAGCAGAGGGTTTAGATGCTTATCACACTACAATAGAGGAGTGCTGCTCACTGAAGAGAAGGTCGCTGTGAGTGTGAGGAACGTGGGGAAGCTGTTACTTCCACTCATGTATCACAACTCACAGTTGAGAGGTTGTGTCAGGAACTGAATGTTCCATCCACAATGTGATCATGTGACTCGGCCATGAAACACGACACTGAATGTGGGAAGAGATTCTCAGTGACACATGCCAGTGTGTTTGTAATTGCAGGGATGTGTCCTCATCAGCGGTGCAGACTGCCTCTGTTCACGTGTCATTTTGCCTTTCTAAGACTTTGCTTACTGTAATAAGGACAATGACCGACCTTGATCAAATGTGGGTTTTATGTTTTTTTTTTATGGCTTTACTGATGTAACATATCCTGTGTTCAGTTAAATGTACTGATTGTGTATTTGGTTTTAAGACTTTCATTTTTGTATTTTGTACATTTCTTTCCATTCTGTCCTATTATCAAGTCCATTATTTTCACCTTTTAATTATTAAGGTTCTCTTAAGAGAACACTTTGAGACTGCTAATATTCTGTTTCTTCATCATACTTTGCTATTATTTTTATATTAATTGATTGCTACCAATGATTATTATTATTGTGGTATTTACCAAATACTATGTTGTAATCAATTCTATGTTTGTTAACAGGAATTCTGTAAAGTGTTACTTTGCCCTCCCACCCTTTATCAAATTGTTGCTAATATTGGTAGTGAGTGCACAAACATACACAGGTGTGGTCTTATGCACACCTGTGTGCACCTTAGTATATGCTGCATATTTATCCACATATATTACAATCCACAGTGAGGAACACTTATTTAGACTTCTGTAAACTGAACACGCAGCACATGCCGTTGGTTTACTGTGCTAAAATCTCATAGATAAATGTGATAATTTGGTATAGCATCTTTCTACATCTAAATATGTAAGGTCTTAAAACCCTTGGGGTTTATATCGATGATACAACTTTTAACTTATGCTCATATGGACCAGAAAATAATACCAGAAATTAAAACAGTAAAAAAAGAAGAAATGAATATCAGTTCATTTGTATCACAATGATATGTTAAACTTGTAATAAGCACAGTTAAAACTCTCTGCAAAATCCCACTCAGATCTCTTAAGGGTGAGTCCCAAAGAAACCCCTAAAGGCAGAACTTATATTCATAACCGTTTGTGAGTGTCAAGGTTATTAATCACAAGAGAAATATGTGAAAACTCACTTTCACATTAAGAGATTTATTATCTGTGGCATCCAGGATATGGAAGCTCCATAGAAATATGAGATGGTTCTTGTTTTATGTAACAATGTAATCCCATTCCTCAACCCAAATACTGGGGTAACCCTGGTGTGTAAAACCTTCCTCATGACTACAGTAATACCCATCACAATAAAAGGTCTCATTCTCCTCCAGTGAGGCCAAGTCTGTCTAGGTTTCCATCCTCACAGCTCTGCAGAATTTCATCTCTGCAACATCCAGGAAGGCCCACTCCTCTGGCGCTCACCCTGGTCCATATCATCAATGACCGCTGAGACCTAAAATGTCCCTCACACTCTGGTTCAGCAAGGTATCACATACTCATTCATTGTTGACAAGGGTAATGGTGACAGCCTTGGGAAACTGAAAATTCATTGGAATTTCAAACAGAATTTGATGTTTGACCAAGGAACTCTGGTAGGGGCATGTATACTGGTTGGGCTGCTTACTTTCAGTCAGCAGTTAGAAACTAGCAGGCATTCCACAGGAGAAAGATGAGGCTTTCTGCTCTTGTAAAGATTTACAGCCTCGGTAGCCCTAAACAGGTTTGCTATTAGTCGGAACCGACTCCCCAGTACACATCCACCACCACCACCACCAAGGTCTATTGTGAGGTACAGCAATCAGCCATGTACCTTCACTAAATATATTCCCTTCCTCACTGATGGCTTTCTGTGTCATAAGACAACAATCCCTCACAGTTTGAATGCAACCAACTGTTGTATTCCTTTCCGTTTCTGGTTTAGAACAGCTAGAAACAGTGACAGTTTTGAGAAATGGTCTAATGCAGATCATGACTTCATTATGGACAAATAGCTATGCGTTCCTGAAGACCCATCATGAGACTCAAAAACAAAACCAAACAATGTAGAGTGAAGGTCCATTGAGGTGGTGAGACCCTGGAGGCACTGCAGAATGGCAGTTTCCTTGTGCCCTGCACTGCCCTTGGATTACCCGGGGTCCTCCCCATAGAAACTGACCACACAAGACCCCAGGTGTTCATGTTGTCTTCAACACTAGGAGACATGGAGGTATAGGCCCACATCATGAAAACAAGGAACACTCTTAGGGAGAATTATGAATATGTACATGGCAGTCACCTGCTTTTCAAATTCTCAATTTTGTCATTTTTTTTTATGTTTTGTCATTTCCACTCTTTGCTTTTCAGTTACTTTTGTTCAATGCCATCAATTCGGTTCTAACCCAAAGCAACCCAACGAAAAATACAAAAATCACAGATTGATATTATGGAAACATATATGGATTTAAGGAAACGAGGACTACTTGGTGACTGACAGGCAGTTAGGGAATCTGGAGAGGGAGCCCCCTTTTGTAACGATGGGGCCAGGATGGTCCCTTCGGCTGCGGCCTCTATTGTGCTTCATCCAGACTGAAATAAAACCATCTTGGAAGCTGAGCTTTCTCAGTGCCCCATTTCAGTAGGAGAGTGGCTGGAGACCACAGCCTGTGTCTGGGGTGCAGATGGTCTCCCAGCACCTTCCCTGGTCTCATCCGGTGCTTCCTGCCCAGCACTATGCTTTGCAGCCCTGTAGCTCCTCTGTTCCCTGGAAGTTTGTGAGAAATACAGAGTGGGGGCTCCCAGGGTCCCTAAACAGAGTGTCCGCCATTGCAGCCTCCTGACCTCCACCGGCTGCACACTTGTCCCCTTTTTGTATGGATTTTGCTTTGAATTGGAAATTGCCCCTGTGTATGTGACTAGCAGTGCAGTCTGGAATGAAGCCAAAAACCTGTCACCTCCCCCCACCCCCACCCCCACTGGCTTAGCCCTGAATCTCCCCCATCGGTCTTCCATTTCAGCTCTGTGGTGTGGTCCCGAGTTAGTGGGAGCCGTGAGGGGGCCATCTTGCACACCCCTAAGTCATCAGGAAGGACTTCAGGTATTCTGTGTGTATGGACCAGACATTAAGCATCTGCTCCCAACTGCCCACGGCTCAGCTTTCACTTCAGACCTTCTTTCTCAAGTGACCTTTGGCGATAGTGTCCTAGACCCCAATAAGGGGGAGCACAGAAATGGTGAGGTCTGTAGGGATTTGGGTATGACTGGGAATTCAACTGATGGAAGTGGGTTTGGGTTTACTGAAAACTGGGCCATCTTCCCCTCAAAGTATGAGCCTGGATAAGTACTTTTTTGGTAACACTGATGTGTGAAGGGCTGTGGTTCCTCAGTGAAGAATAAATGAGGCAGATAAGACCCAGGGTCTGAGCCCTAGCAGGCACCCTGAGATCCTGTTCCTCAGTTACTAGGCCCTTCCTCTGTGCAGATGTGGCTCTTCAGAATCTAGCTGATGGAATTGCTTTCCTTATGTGAGTCTCCTGGCTGACACCAGGGAGGATTACCATCCCCATGCTGGGCCTGGTGCTCTATGTAGAATGAGAGTCACCGGACCACAGTTGAACCCTGGAACAGCTGTTGATGCTGGATTGTGGGACCTGGCCCAGCAAAGCCAGCCATGTCCCAGCTCTCTTGACTTCCCACAAGTACGGAAGCATTTTCTGGGCAGCTTTCACGTTTTAAATCCTTTTTATTTGTAAATATGTATAGGCATGAAATTATTTGCAAGGTTTTAAATTTTAAAAAAGATGCATTTATCCCACCGGTTCTTGTTTTTTTTGTATTGTATCCAGTTTTTGATTTTCTCTTAGCTTTTTTTCTAAGTTGTCGTCTTTAAGTTTATAGTTTTGCATTCATATTTAGGGTTGATCATTTTCAGTGAATACTTAGGAAAGTTACAACATCTCTGTCGAGACTTTGTTTTTTGTTTGTTTTTATACTTGTGTCTTCAAGGGTCATTTCCGGAAAGCTATCCTCTTTTCCTCGAATTGCCTTTGGTCCTTACTCAACATCACATGTCTTCTGTTTCCATGGATCCATTTGCTTAGTGATTTGCAAAAAACGTCAATATGCTGATTTTTGCAGCTTCAGAGGTTAATGAAATTTGCTGAAAGTACCAAAATGACTGGTGGGATTTTGATTGGGATTCTACTGAAGGGCATAGATCACGTTGGATAGAATTGGTATGTTAACAATATTGACTTTTCCCATGCAAGCACCTTTGGGTTCTTTGATTAGAGTTTTGTCCTTTTCCTCATCTGTATCTTTTGTAAAGCTGATGTTCTTCCATGTAAACTATCAATCAATTAATTCACAGTAAAAGGGGTATAAGAACTTGCCTAGTGAAAGATATCTCTAGTGCAGTCTTTGTAGTGTATAAGACCTCCGGTGAAATCCTGATCCCCATCTAGAAGCTATGTTTTT